TCGACACCTCGTGGTTGCATAGGCTGGTGTGCTTCTTCCATGTGGGCTTTGTTGCTTCTGAGCTAGATGGCCGCTTGATTACCTTCAAGCCTTTAAGACCCCAAGGGCAGACATTCTTTACTAGTCAAGTTAAACTATTGTTTGGCTTGAAGGAGCCCTAGTGGCATAGTGGGTTATGAGTTGGGATGGTAACCACAAGGTCAGCAGTTCAAAACCACCAGCAGAGCTCTTCATGGCAGAGAGATGAGGCTTTCTACTCCCGTAAAGTTACATTCTTGGAAACCCACAGGGCAGTTCTACCCTGTCCTCACTATGAGTCAGAATCAACTTGATGGCAGACAGCTGAGATTCTTTGGTTTTCAGACATCAGGAATTTTTTTTTTTTTTTTAGTTTAGGGTTTAGAGATTATGTCAGGGCAATAGTTTCAGGTGTTTATCTAGCCTCCATGTTTCCAGAAAGTCTGCATGAAAACTCAATTCTGCAATCCCCTATTTTGATCAGGATTCTTCTATAGAATCTGTGATCAAAATGTTCACTAATGGTAGCCTGGTACCATCCAGTTCTGCTGATCTCAAGGGAAAGGAGGCAGTTTTTCTGAGAGGCTATTAGCCATACATTCTTTAACCTCCTTTTATTTCTGACTCTCCGTCATTTTCTATTGCTTCATGTAAAAAGAGAGTAATTGTTGCTTGCAGAGAGCATTTCTTAAACTTGACCTTTTTCAGCACTTACTTACCAGTCCTATAACCCATTCTGGAACACTATTCAAATCTCTGACTTTGAAATGGATAATCATCAGTTAATCAGATGCGCCAGCACTTCTATAGTGTTAAATAGATTATCATCTCCTATTGCAACCCTTTGACAAATCCTTGTATATTACTCAGAAATGCAAGTACGATAGCAAGCTGGAGTTATAGGAAAGAAGCCCTTTGGTCTTCCTCCAAATCCTCTGTGCAGCTAATACCCAAAACAAAACCAAATTCACTGCCATTGAGTTGATGCCAATTCATAACGACCCTATAGGACAGGGTAGAACTGCCCCCGCCTGTGAGTTTCAGAGACTGTAACTCTAAGGAAGTGGAAAGCCCTGCCTTTCTCCTGAGGAGCGGCTGGTGGTTTCAAACTGTGGACCTTGCTGATTAAAGCCACACATGTAACCACTATACCACCAGAGCTAATACCTCACTCTTTCCTAAGGCCAGCAATGCTCAACCCTTTTTACCTCTTAACACTTGGGAGAGATTTCTGGTGTAGCCATCGATGGATGGTGTGGACGTTTCTCTCAGTTTCTCCATACTAACCACAACAATAAATACGGTAAATAAGGCAAGAGAGAACTGAGGGGAAATTCTTTAAAAAAAATCATTTTATTAGGGGCTCATACAACTGTTATCACAATCCATACATACATCAATTGTGTAAAGCACATTTGTACATTCATTTCCCAGGAAATTGTAAAAGGTGATGCAAATACAGAAAACTGGTTTGAGACCCAAGGACTGGCAAAACAGCATAGAGGCCTCTCCACTCACCAAAAAGAAAAAAAACAACAACATAGCCCAGTCCTAGCATTTCATGATCCCCAAGCTAGCAAGAGAACGGCGCACGTTGGCTCTTTTTCCCACCACAGCAAACGACAGCCCCTCTGACAACACCAGGGGAGCTGCACACCACTGGCCAGAGGAGTTCATCAGAAGTCCCACTGACAATCATGAACAAAGGACACTCTAGCCTTTCCGGTTGGGCATAAAATTCCCTTCTTTTGCCTAGAGATACCAAGTGGGAGGGTGGAAAAGGAAAGAGGGTACAGCCACAGTTGTCTGTGTGACATACATTCTGTTATTTTCCCAACCTTACCCTCTACCTGAGATGTCTTTATAAGCACACTCTGCTCATCTTCTTTTATATGTTTAGCATAAATCTTAGGGGAAGGGCATGGTTGTCCCCCCCAAAAAAAAGTAATGTGCGCGGTATTTGTGTAAAACTACATTCAATATGTGGCTCCCTTTGGGAAATCTCTTGATCTCTGCAGTCCTGAGCTACAACGTCTTTGTTTCAGAGCAGCCAGGGGCATCAATAGGTGTAGCCTACTGTTGTGGATTGAATTTTGTTCCCCCCGAAAGTTGTGTTTGGGGCCTAGCTTCTGTGTTTGAGAATAAAACTCTGGTTGGAAATTGGGGTTTTCTTTCGTTATGTTAATGAGGCCACTCCAGAGTCTCAAAGCCTTCTGAGTGGCGCCTTATAAGAAGAGCAGGCTGGACGTAGAGACAACACACACCCCTTAGTTTCTCAGGGCTGTTATAACAAATACCACAAGGGGGGACACAAACAAACAGAAACTTATGTCTTACAGTTTAGGAGGGTAGACGTCCAAATTTCAGGAACTAGCTCTAGAGCAGCGGTTCTCAACCTGTGGGTTGTGACCCCTTTTGGGGTCGAACGACCCTTTTACCGGGGTCACCTACAACCATAGGAAAACATAAATATCTCACAATATATAATTACATATTATTTTGTGATTAATCACTATGCTTTAATTATGTTTAATTATGTTCAATTTGTAACAATGAAGATACATCCTGCATACCAGATATTTACATTATGATTCATAACAGTAGCAAAATGACAGTTATGAAGTAGCAACGAAAATAATGTTATGATTGGGGGTCACCACAACACGAGGAACTGTAGGAAAGGGTCACGGCACTCGTAAGGTTGAAAACCACTGCACTAGGGGAAGGCTCTCTCTCTCTCTCTCTGTTGACTCTGGGCCAAGGACCTTTTCTCTTTGATTTCTGACTTGATTCAGGGGTGATGTTCATGTGGTATGTATCTTGACCTCTGTGCTTCCTTCTCCGTGCCTAATCTTCTCATTTATACCATAGACATATGAATGCATATAATACACTATCCTTTAACTTGAGTTTTATAAATCATATTTGATATGATTGAAATAACAATTATACCACCATCCCTCTCAGTAGGGCCACAGAGAAAGGATGATAATTCCAGGGTGCAGTGCAGCACTGATGAACCACAAAATTATCTGCTAGTTCTTTAATATTTCCTCCCCTTACTATTAAGGCTGTTATTTCTTTTACCTGATTAATTATGTTAGTTATACATGTGTGCATTTGTATACTAAGATTGTTCGGTACATGAAAGTCAAGATAGATAACCCTGCAGAAACAGTACAGGAGTAATGGTTCCCTGAGGGTATGGGAAGAGAGGGTGGGAAGGGGGAACTGGGGAGCTGATAGCATTGATGACTGTATAACTCCACTAGATGGGATTGAACAACAGAATTCTATGTGAATGGATATATTGGATTATTGGATTGCATAAGATATGTCAATGAATCTATTATAATAATAATAAAAAATTATAACACCATAGCATACTCAATGCAGTAATATTTGAAAGTGGAGAAGGTATATGGGCCCAAATGGAAGGGAGACTTACAATAGTAGACCGTTGTGAGTTTCATATGTATATTGGAATATCCAGTGTAACCACTATGAAGACTCTATGGAGATGTAGTTAAAGCATTTAAAATCACTATAGAATCATAAAAATGGTTATCCACAAGAAGGCAAGAAAAGAAAATAGGAAGAAGAGTCAGATCAAGAATCTAGAAAAAGAAAAGAAAGCAGACAGAAGGAAATATTAAGGGTAAGAGTTGATATGAATGGAATTAAACAAAACTATTGAGAATAATCAGTGAAACAAAAAATCTGGTTCTTTGGCAGGGGGAGGGAAATCTAAATTGATAAAACTCTAGCAAGATTGGCAAAAAGAGATAAGACACACATAAAGTATATCAATTGAAGCCAAAATATCATTTGATAAAATCCAGATACCCGTTCTGGATTAAAAAACAAACAAAAAAATCCTCTCAGGAAGTAAGACTAGAGGGTCTTATGAAGGACAGAATTCAGAAAAGGAGAAATGGAGATAGGAGACCCATGAAGGAAGTGTAATAAATGAGAGTACATGAAGGGACTGCAATGGGGGAGTTTAAGCAAAATGCGCATGAGCTGTGGAATGGAAAATGGATGATCTGCCCTTCCGTTTTCACCTAATTCCCAATTAAAAAGTCAAAGTAAGAATAAAAGGAATAGAAGGTATATTTGTTGCCATAAAAAATTACCAAAACCTGGGGGGCTTCCAACAACAAACATTTATTCTGTCATCGTTCTGGAGGGTAGAAAACTGAGAAATGGGAATAAGCTTGGTGGGTTATATCGATGTCCATGTCCTGAATGTGATATTATAGTACAGTTTTGCAAAATGGGTGTGGAGCCGGGTAAAATGTATATGGGATTGTTTTGTCATATCTCTTAGAACTGCATGTGTATTTACAATGATCTCAATACAATTTTAAAATGAAATTATTGAGGACCCCAAGAAGCTTTTACTGCATGGGTTATTTCTATTTACTGTATTAGAATGGAAAAACCAAAAAATGGAAACCCAAGTATATGCACACCCGCATTCTATTATCTGCGAAAGTAATTACAACATTAGCTTCTGGAAAGCTTTATCCTCATGAGAGGATGAGCGCGAGGGGGGAAAATCGGTATTATTGTGAATCTGTTTTGGCCTTTCAACCCCCACCAAATGGTTGTAGGGATAGGATAACAACACATCCCAGTTTTCCTGGGACTTTCCCGGTTTTAGAAACGCAAAGTCCTAGCAAAAAGGGATGGTTTACCTGAAGTGTTCTGATTTTAAAACAGACGTCCTCACTTCTCTGGAATCCACTAAGCCCTGGCCAAACTGCTCACCAGGCTTTTTTGGGTCCTTGGAACCATTTGGGGACCCTTTGTGCTGGGCCGTCCCTGTGACTCCCCCAGTTGCTTGCTCCACTTTCCTCTCTGGTCCTCACATTGCATTCCTTCAACAAACTATCCTTGAAGATGCTTTATAATGACGAAGTCTCATCAGCATGTGGATACTAGTGTGTGTGTTTGGTTTTTTATGCTTATCATTTCAGGTCCGGTTAGTATGGAGGTGCAAGTGACCATCCCGAATAGTGATGTGAATGTGACTGCTGGATCTGATGTCACCCTGATCTGCACCTACACCACCACTGTGGCCTCCCTGGACAAGCTCACCATCCAGTGGTCTCTCTTCAAGGAACCGCACCCCATTTCTGTAAGAAAAGAATTCTTTATCCCCAAACCATTTCCATTCTGGTAGTTCTCACTGAAGACTGTTCCGGGCCCATGACTGGAGGCACAGTCAGCTGCTGACAACCATGGCCCCACCTCAGATAAAAAGAGTTTTAACAGAGCTATTTCAAGAAGAGCCTCATCTTAGTGGCTTGGATTTTGTTTTCATATTTAGTTTGGTTTCATAGTCTGTTACATCACCCATTATCTCAAGCCTCTGTAGGTCAATGTCAAGTGTATCATGTGTTCTGGAGTAGATGAGAATGAACCTCAGAGTTCACAGGAGAAGAAAGGGCTCTCCCCCACCCCCACCTCCACAAAGAACTGCTTGACAATTGTTTCCAGTGAATCCCCAGTTCAAAGGCATGTCCTATTTGAGCCACAGGTCTCTGCCAGGGATATGCCTGCCAAAGGGAGCCAGTTCTTTGTACCCAACTGGTGAAAGAGACTCACCAGTGGTCAGAGAAGTGTCCCAGCCATGACAAACCCAATGTAATCGAGCAGCTTAAGGCAGGCGAGAGCATAAGAGTTGGGGTGGGTAGACATACCATCCCAGGCCGGAAGATGCCAGAGGAGGGTGGGCAAAAGTCAAAGGCAGGGGAGGACTCTACATGCAAGTGGACTTCTCAGGTTTCCTTTATTTGACTTTGAGGATAATTTCTTCTTGAAATCAGCCCAAGTGCTCAATTTATATAGGTGAAAATGTGTGTTTGTGTGTGTGTCTCACACATGTACATGCATGCCGGAACTCAATTTTGGAAATCCAAAATTATCCATGATCCAAAACAGGGAGTCAAGGGAAGAGATAAATCAGTGTGATTTAAAATAGTTGCATGTGGTTGAGATGGACTGTGAAGGAAAAAGATGCGGGTTTGGAGAAAGATTGAGGGTGAACAGGTTGGGTAGGCTGAGAACACTCAGGAGCAGAGGTGGAACCAAAGGAGAGTATAGGCTTGGAGCAGCCGACCTCAGTGATGTCACTTCATTGTTACTGGCTCTCTGGGGGTACTGTGTCCTCTTGGGCAGAAGGCTTGAACAGGCAGTTAGCAGAAAGCACCATGGAGAAGACCCCATCAATACCACCACCCTCTAGAGGTAAACAATTTTTCTTGCTACTGCTTACCTTGGACAAATGCCTGAATCTCTCTGTGCCTCTCTTTACAATATGGTTGCTCTCCTACATTTCTTTTTTTCTCTCCTACATTTCTTGTGGAGGAGAATCAAATGACATAATTTATGTGAAAATACTTTGGAAAAACATAAAGCCCTCTAAGATTTCTGCCTTGTACACATCGTTACTGATGGTATCATTATTCTTCTCCCCCTCCTCCTCTGCCTCCTCCTCTTCCTCCTCCTCCTCATCATCATCATCATCAACAGCAGCAGCATTAATCATTCTCCTATTTCCATTTCCCACAAAGCCCCAACTCAAGACGTGGCATGTTGGAGTCCAGTGAGATAGCTACTATTTCTTTTACAGTTTGCTCTTGTTAGATTATGGATGGAAATACTCACAAAATGTTTCTTCCTTTATATTCAATTCCCTGACTCACTTTTCAGCAACTTCATTCTCTTGACTTTAAAGTCCATAGTTTGCCAGTAGAGGCTAAATGTAGAGAGGCTTTGCCAATATCTTGAGGGGTGTGTGTGTGTATGTGTGTGTGTGTGTGTGTGTGTGTGTGTGTGTGTGTGTACTTGGTACTAAAATCAAAATGTCCTCAGCTGCCGTGGACGTCAGACCAGGCCAGGCTGAGTTGAACAACACACATGCTTCCTTAGGCTTCCTCTGACACTGTACTGTGAGGAGTTGGGAGCTGTAGGGGCCAACGATCTTGTCACCAGCCATGTGCTTTTGTTCCTGATCTGCAGATGCAGGTCAAGAAGATGTAGGTGATTAAACTACCCTGTTTCCCTGAAAATAAGACAGTGTCTTATATTAATTTTTGCTCCCAAAGATGCGCTAGGTCTTATATCAGGGGATGTCTTATTTTTCCATGAGGAAGAATACAATACCCATTTATTATTTATTGTTTTATTAAAAGAGACCTTGCACTTCCTGTCTGCTCTGGCTGTGCTGAAGAGTTACGGTAGCTTCGTGGGGGCCTTATTTTCAGGGAGGTCTTATTTTTGGGGGGATGCCTTATATTTCAGCGAGAGGCAAAACTGTAAGTAGGTCATATTTTGGGGGGATGTCTTACTTTCGGGGAAACAAGGTAAGTAGGACTGAAGCTCAGGACAACTGTTTTTTTTTTAATTGAATCATTTTATTGGGGCCTCGTACAACTCTTATCACAATTCAGGACAACCCTTAAGAGCAAGTTAAGATGAACATCTATGAACACATAAGTGTTTTTCGAGCAGCTTATTTACTTGCTATTTGCCTTGTTCTCCAAGATATCAGGCCCAGCTGCTGGCCCATTAAGAATACGCTCCTTGGTTTTAAAACATTCCAGACACCCCTCCAAATGCATGAGACCGGCGTTATGCCTGTGTCCTGGCTGCATGGAGGACAAGGTGAACCATCCCCACAAAGCAAAGAGTCTCTTCCTCCTCTTCTCCTGTTTTGTTCTACTCAGATACCCCTTATGACCATCTTTAGGTCTTGACTGCAAGAGAACTGGACTGCCCCCCTTCTCCCATCCCATACTTCATAGGTCTGGGCTCTCTCTGCTTTGCCACCTGATTGGAAGCTAAGTGGGAACCTCCCGTTTGGTCTTCGTTCTAGTCCTTCCTCTGCCACTTACTGGCTTGGAAAAGTCAATCTTTCAGAGGTTCCATTTTCTCATCTGTACAATGGGGCTATCGATTTACCAAGCTCATAGTTTGACTGTGACAATGACAGGGGATGATGCTTGTCAAGTGCTTAGAAACCTTTTATCTAGTAAGCTATCACTGAATGTTAGCCATTATTATTATTATATTATTATTATGGTCTAGTGCCCCTCTGGTCCCATTGAAGGACCCTCTGGCCCATTTGATGCCTGCCCGGTTTGGAACTCCTGAACATACATTCTAAGTTGAGTTGGCATTTTTCAAAATGGAATTTGACCTCCCTTTTTACTTTGTTTCTTCTTTGAGTACTTGTATACATTTGAATCTCTGCAGGGCATTTTGTGGGTTCATCTAAGGACTGCTAGGAGGACAGTTTGAAGATGCTAGAAAGAGACGTTTCTATGATTTATGGGGGAAAAGATGTTACCAGACTGACCACTGAGTAATTTGATTCACCACCGGGGTTGATGTGGCAATCTACCATATAGCATTCGGCTCTCAGATCCACCATTTCTGCTCAAACACAGCACAGCTCGTGCCTCAATACTGAGGGTGTGGAGGAAAAGGCAGTCAGTCAGTGTCTAAAAATGGCGCATGCGAGAGACGCTCGGGGAAGATGTAGCTGGACCTCTCAGGTAAGAACTACTATTGGTGTGCTCTTAGACCCCTACTGGTGTGCTTCTAGGGTTTGTCTTACGACAATGGCACTAGATTTGGGAGTGGGATGGAAAGGTCTGAGTTTGGTGAAAATCCAGATCAGGATAACAACCTGGCAGAACTAGGACCATAGTGAGTTTGCCTTTCTAATAACTTCCTTCAGAAAGTCTGGGGCCCCGATGCTGCTCAGAGATGGGCAGCGGCCAGCTCCTGCCATGGGCCATATTTTTCTCCTCCCCCAAATTCTGTGTGAAGCAGAAATGGTCGCCAAGACCTGGCTTTTCTCACTACTCAGAGGAGGGTGGGATCTCTTACTGACATTTCCAGCCAAGGGGGTCTTTGGATGAATGGAGACTTCCCACAAGACTCATGAGCAGGGGGCCAGGATATTCGTTAGCACGATCTTCCACTCAAAGGAGTCCTCAACTCGGGAAATAAGAACCGCTTCAGGTGGTCAGTCCCTTAGCAAGGACTCTAAGCTGAAAACTCTAGGTTCCAGGGTAGGCAGGCTGACATGGAAGCGTTGATGGGTTTAGTGTCCCTCCAGTCCCCTTGAGGGCCTCCAGTTGTACCAGCCTGTCTCTGGTCAAACCTGCTCATTAACAAACAGGCATTAGCTCTGCTTAGCATGGCTCTCTTAGAAAATATTTATTATTCTAGGATATTCATAATGGACGAAATCCTCATCTCCCGAACATACACACAGCCTGGACCTGATCTTTCTCAGGACCTGGTGGCTTCATGTTTTCTGGCTGCTCAGACTCCTACCCTGGCTTGTCCTCTACGAGTAGCAGTAAAGCAATTTTTTTTCAAATGAGAGAAAGGAAGGTGCCGCCTCCTGGGGGTGGGGGCAGTGCTTGAAAATGTGGGGAGGGGTCCTGGTTTCATTGTTGTGATTGGGAGTCAATCAGTACTGGCATTTAGTGGGTGGTGGTGAGGTGGTTAAGCACTCCACTACCAACAGAAAGGCTGACTGTTCAAATCCACCAGCCACACTCTGAGAGAACAATGTGTCCGTCTTGAAACCCTATGGGGCAGATCTACTCTGTCTCCTAGGGTCACTAAGAGCCAGAATCAGTATGGGCTGTGGGACACAGGACAAAATGAAACAAACAAGCATGTCAATATCATCCTCCTGGAGAAGCCGGCCCAGAGCTGCCTTCCCCAGCCATCTCCCATCAGTTGGTTTATAGAGTGTCCCACTCAAGGTGTCTAGTCTTGCTCACTCTGATAAACGAATCCTATGCTAAGCTACTGGCAAGAGCTCATTTTGTTCACCTTTGAGCAGGGACTTCATGTACCTTCACTTCAGTGGCAACTGAAGTGGTGGCTATCTTTGGCCAAGGGCAGGCTGGTAAGAGAGGGGTTGGCAGGGGAGCGAGTCTTCCTTTTGGTGTTCTCTTGCTGCCATGGGACATCCTAACAACCCCTGAAATTCAGGCCAGAGAAAATTTTGAACTGAAGACTATCACCACCCTGCACGAGACCCCCGCCCCAGCAATCCTCCCTCCCCATACCCCCCACCACATGACCAGCCACCTCATGAGTGGTGCA